TGAAGTGGACTATGTAGAGACTTTTGCTCCAGTAGCCAAGATGAACTCTATTAGGATTCTTCTTTCATTGGCAACAAATCTTGACTGGGAACTTCATCAACTGGACATCAAAAATGCTTTCTTGAATGGTGACTTAGAAGAGGAAGTGTACATGACCCAACCTCCAGATTTTTGTGCCAAAGGCAGTGAACAGAAAGTGTGCAGGTTAAAAAAATCTTTATATGGGCTGAAACAATCACCTCGGGCTTGGTTTAGTAAGTTCCACTTAGCGGTTCAACAGATGGGGTTCAAACAATGCCAGTCAGATTACACCCTATTTGTGAAGAAAGGTGAAGAGAAAATTGCAGCTCTAGTTGTGTATGTGGATGACATAGGGATCATAGGAGATTGGGAGGCTGAAATACAGAGACTAAAATAATTCTTAGCCACTCAATTTGAGGTGAAAGATCTAGGCCCCTAATGTTATTTCCTTGGAATTGAAGTTGCCCGCTCTCACAAGGGCATCTTTATTTCCCAACGGAAATATGTACTAGATCTACTAGAAGATATAGGCAAACTAGGGATGAGACCAATTGACTCACCAATTGAACCTAACCATCAACTGGGAGATAGTCAGGGAGAGTTCTTGAAAGATGTGAAGAAGTTTTAGAGACTTGTAGGGAGGCTCTTGTATTTGTCTATGACCAGGCCTGGTATTGCTTATGCAGTGGGTGTCCTTAGTCAGTTCATGCACAATCCTAAGGCAACTCACCTTGAAGTTGTAGAGAGGATCCTTAGATACCTCAAAAAGTTTCCCGGAGCTGGTTTGCAGTTCCAGAAACATGGACATTTAAAGGTGGAAGTATATATTGATGCTGATTGGGTAGGGGCAATTGATGATCGAAAGTCTACCAGTGGGTATTGTGCTTTTGTAGGAGGAAACCTAGTCACATGGAGAAGTAAGAAGCGAAGTGTGGTGGTTAGATCTAGTGCTGAAGTAGAATACAGATCTATGTCTCATGGGGTTGCTGAAATCATGTGTATAAGAAATCTGTTAGGTGAACTGGGTTTTGCAGTTAGCAACCCTTTGTCACTCCATTGCGACAATAAGGCTGCTATCAACATTGCAGCTAATCCCGTCCTCCATGATAGGATGAAACACATTGAAGTGGACAAGCATTTTATTAGAGAAAAACTTTTGAGTGGAGAAGTGTGCACCCCATATGTCAGCTCAGAAGAACAACTTGTAGTCATTTTCACCAAAGGTCTTCATCATGTGCGGCATAATGATTTGTGTGACAGGTTGGGCATGATTGACATCTATGCTCCAACTTGAGGGGGAGTGTTGAAATAATTTATTTTATTTTGTTAGGGTTTGTTTGGTTGATTAAAGAATTTTATTTTTTTCTAATATTGTACTTTACTTATAGCAGGGGCACAAAGGTCTTTTCCCTTCTTATTTTTTGTCGCCCTATATATTATAATAGAAGCTGGCGCCGCCAACACTGTTCCATTTGCCTCTAATCCTTCTTCCTTTCTTTCTTCTTCTCTTCTTCTCCTCTTCTCTTTTCTTCTTTTCTCTTCTTTGCTTCTTTATTTTTCAATCGGATTTATTGTCAAGAGGTGACATTAGAAAGATGATTGATTATTTATTTAATAAGCCCAAGATTATGCAATTTGGACATGGAACTGGCCCAGTTATTGGTTGATCTATGGACTCTGTCAATGAGTCTGTGATGGGATTTTCTCTTTCTTGGTTCTTTGAGTTTTCTATTTAGAACTTTTGTAGTTTTAAGGCTTATATTGGTATGTGATAGATATTAGTTTTAAAATTTATTTCCATTTGAAATTTTGTTAATTTCGAACTATTCTATCCAATTGTATGAGTTAGAGAGTATTAAGGCTCTAAATTGGGGGAATTAGTTTATATAAAGTCTAACAATAACAATGCTACAAGGGAAGGTAAGAACCCGGGTCCTTTGAAGCTTTAGTTTTTTTTTTTTTTGATGAATATTGAAGCTTTAGGATGTTTCCAGCAAATGATTGGGAATTTTCAATATCATCAGATGGTAAGTTGATGTTTTTGAAAATGATAAGCTTATTAGGGAAGGTGAGAATGTGGATCTACTGAAGCTCAACCTTTCTGGAAAAGGAAAAACAAAAGAGAAGATCGTATGTGGTGATTAGAAACTTCAATTTCATTGGAAGGTAAAGTTGATGATGCCCAGTAAGGATGGTGAAACTTCTGATTCAGGAGTTTAGATGGTTCCTGAGATTCAGGTGGAGACAGGTGCTTATATGGTAATGTTTATTTATTTTTTTGATCAGCAAAATAAATGTTTTTTTTTTTTTTTTTTTCTGGAAGGTGTTCAATTAGTTATGATGACAGGAAAAAATTAGGGTGGATGAAGAAAATCAAGGTGTTTATGAGTTTGTGGTAGCTGAATGATAGGTTGTGGTGTGAGAGCAATATTGTATTGTGTTTACAAAGTGGGTTGGTGATTCAGCCATTCAGGTGAGTAACGAACTTGTTTATGGTGTTTTTCTATGCTAAAAACTGGGTGTAGTATGTTTTCAGAGCTGATTAGTTGAAGAAGAGACCTTTATTTTAGTAGCTGATCATTGTTCAAATGTTTTAGACATATGGCTGCATCAACAAATAGTTCCAAAGCTGCTGTTGTGTTACAGTCAGACCTTATGAATACCTAGTTGACTACTGTTAAGCTTAATGGTACAAACTATGTAACTTGGGTTAAATCAGTTGAAGTATCTCTAATTGGAAGAGGAAAACTAAAATATATTAAGGAGGATAAGCCAAAGAGTTGGTCTGATGGGTACAATGAATGGGTGCAAGAAACTGTATAGATAATGACATCACTGTGGAATAGTATGGAGAATCATAGTAGTATTAATCTTGTGTTTCTGGACACTGCTAAAGAAATTTGGGATCATGCCAAGCAGTTGTATACGGGGTAGGACAATGTGCCAAGGATCTATCAGCTGCATCAAGAGTATTTTAACTCTCCAACAAGGTGATGGGAGTGTAGCTGAATATTTTGCAGGCCTGAAGAACCTAAGGAATGAGATAAATGTCTATCAGCCTCTGTTTATAGACTTGAAGGTACAACAACAACAAAGGGAACACTTGGAAATTGCAAGACTTTTGTCTGGGTTGAGAACAGAATTTGAACCAGTGAGAGCTCAAATTTTGGGTAGTAGTGATCTCCCATCTCTCTCAGAGGTGTCCTCACATATTAGGAAGTATCAATTTTGAAAAGAAATGTTAGTAGTACAATGGAACAAAAGAAGCTTTGGGGATGTCAAAACTAGAAAAAGAAAGGAGCTGATAAGTTCTTTAGGGAAGACCCAAGGAAGGAGGTGGCTACAATTTTTTTTTTTGGGTAAGTAGAGAGGTGGCTACAATTGTAGATAGGGAAGAAATTTGTTGTTGACAGAAGTCTAGGATGATCTGGTTTAGGAAGAGGATAGAATTAATCATTTCTGTGCATACACATTTTTTTTATCAGCAAAGAAAATCATTTATTGATTTTAATCTGAAATTAAGATACAGTACTTACTACTTTCCATAGCAAAGTAGTTTACAATACTGCCCAAAATAAGGATGGTCTATCAGCTTCCTGCTTGGCTAACACATCTGCCAACCCATTAGCTTCCTTTTTAACCCAATTGAAAGTAGAGTTAAATCTCTTTGCAAGTTGGTCAATTTGTCTAAAAGTGAATCTTAGCTTCCAAGGTACTGACTCAATTTGCTTTGCCCATGTTATAATCAGAAGTGAGTCTCCTTCAATGTCCAGCTCTCTTGCCCCTATTCTGCAAGCTTCAGTCCTTGCCATAGAGCCTTTGATTCAGCTTGGATTGAGTCTGCAAGCCCGATTGGTCCTGAGAACAAGGCCAGCACTACTCCATGATGGTCTCGAAAGACTCCCCCTACTCCTGCTCTTCCTGGGTTGCCAAAGGAACTCCCATCGAAGTTTAGTTTCAGTTTATTTGGCCCTGGTGCCTGGTGGTCTCCACTCCACTCTTATAGTTTCTCTATGTGGTTCTGAGAGTACCACTTCTGTCCAATTTCTTATGAAGTCATCCATGGGAATACCTTTGAACAAATCCAAGGTTTTGACCCAATGTACTGATCTGATTTTGATGGCTTCAATCACCTCCACTAAGGATTTACATTTTCCATTGAAGATCCTCTGATTTCTCTCTTCCCAAATTGACCAAACCACAGCAGCACGTACTGTTTTCCACACACATCTTCCCCTTTTCTTCTGTTGCCTTAGGAAGGTTGGGTTGAAGAGACTCACTATGTCTTGGGGGGGGGGTCCATCTGCATCCAAAGAGAGAACAGAAATAGTCCCAAATAGAAGAAACAAATGAGCTGGAGAGCAGCAAGTGAGAGAAGGTTTCACCACAAGCCTTACAGAGAACACACACATGGGGAGAAAGGCACATGTTTGGCCTTTTTTTCTGTGGCACGTCACGGGTGTTTACCTTCCCTTGAAAAATTTCAGCAAAGAGCTTGTACTTTAGGAGGAATTGGTTTACACCAAATTTTTATGCATACATATTCTAAAGCAAGGACAAGGAGATCGGTGCATGCTTCAAATGGACAAGGAGATCAGCTAATGGTTTAGACATGTTGGCTAAACAAGGGACTGTGAGGGAGAGAATGTTCTGGGCAGTTTTGTAAGAAAGATTACAGGGGGATCAACACCTGTTTAGGGGTTGACAGTTGTACTTAACTCTGGAAAGTTATTCTTAAGTTGTATTAATGAAGTTACCGTTTCCAATAAAAAAATATATTCTAAAGCAAGGAAACATAATTACATTTCCAGGCTCAATCTTTTCTTTTCTTTTTTTTTTTTTCTGTTTAGTCATGAATTCATGGAAAACTATGATCTTGTTTGTTTAATGGACCTAATGGCTTCCAGCATCAATTTCTACAAGGAGTTGTATGCATGTCCTGTCACTGATACAATTACTATTCTATGAATCCTCTGCAGTCTCTTGAATTTAAAGTTATTATTAAGATTGGACGCACTCACACCCAAGATGCAACACCTTTAACTCTTGGACAAGAATTCAGTGGGTATGCTACTCAAGTAAGTTTTTCTCTCTATTGTACCTTCTTCCTGGTATATAAGAGGTGCTTCTGTATTTATTTAAGTACTCCATTTGCAGGTAAAATATGGAATTGACAGAATCATCTGCACTCTTCCTCGCATGTATCAAGTAGGTGACTGAAATTTTGCATTTGATTAGTTTTTCCCTTCTTTTGAGTTCTTACAAGATGAAGTCTTCTGAGCAGCTTGCACAAGGTGGGACTGCTGTTGGAACGGGACTGAATACCAAAAAGGGGTATGATTTCCTTGGGCTCAAAGAATTTCTTATCTTTCTTCTTTCTAATTTTTCTTTGGAGTCATTGTCATATGTCCTGATTGTCATATTGAGCCACTGCTAGCAAAACCTATGGATACAGACACAGATTATTTTGACACAGACATAGATTTTGGACATAGCAAGCCTACAAAATTGATAACCACAAACAGTTTTATATTTATGCATATGTATGAATATCACCAATAGTGCATGCATACTTAGTTTGATTATATATGCAAGCCATTGATTGCTACTAAAGTGCCCAGCTATTAAGATGATACCCTTTTGAAGGTTGACGTTGTTGAACTTACAAAAAGTGAACTTTAGTAGCAATCAATGCAAAGAGGTAAACTTGTGCAATGAAGTTGAAATAGTGAAAAGGAAGAAGATGACAAGTGATTCAACATGAAAACCTTTGCATTTTATGAATAGTTTGATTATATATGTTGATCTTATAAAAAGTGCGGGTCATCCCAATTTTAGTACAGACATCTCAGCCTTCAAAAGGGTATCATCTTAGTAGCTTGGCATTACTTAAAGAAAATGCAAACAAGTAAACTTGTACAATCAAGTTGGAATAGTGAAAAGGAAGATGACAAGTGAGTCAACATGAAACCATGCTAGAGGGGTTTCCAGGTTGAAGCTTATTTGAAGTACATAGCAACGTCAACCTTCTTTACACCTACAAGACATCTAGAATAATCCACCAACCTTGTCCACAGATTTAACCAAGGTGCGTTTGTTGGACATCATTGGGCTGTACCATTTGTAGGAAATGAAGAAACACTTTTCCCTTTATAGAAGGAACCAAACAAATTACCAACACTATAAATTGCAGCCATGTGCTGATCAGGTTGGAATTTGTCTAAAGTACAATGCAGCATTATACTTCTTTATACCTCATACAGGAGATATAGAGTAGTTTATTGATCTTGCGCACAGATTTAACCAATATATGTCTTCTTGAACATTGTTGGGTTATACCGTTTTTAGGGAATGGAGAAATATTTTTGTTCTTTGTGAAGGAATTTTCATCTTTTGATAAAAGAAACCTAATATCCACTTCTTGTTTGTTAAAATTGATGATGATAAAAGCATAATATTAACAAGAACAACAATTTCTTACTAGTGATCATTTAACTATAAGGTTTAAAGCTACAAGGAAAAAGGTGAATGGGAGGACTGGAGCAGCATTACATCTTAATCAGTTATATTGCCTAAGGATATCAAGACACACGGTTTGAGAAGTCGAATGGTTCAATTTGTTTAGGAAAAACAGCATATGGCAAAAGCACCATATCTGTGTGTTTGCATCCAAATTCCTAAGTCTGGAATTTTCTCTCTGCCACTGTTCAAAGCTATCAGCAGCCTCCTGATGAGATACCAATTATGTAAATTCTCAATTAGACTTAAGAAATTGGTAGATTAGCAACCTCTAGGAGTAACTAAATATAGAATCAAGCATATGGAGCCATTCAAAGACATCAAAAGCATAAATTCTAAAGATGAAAATTTGAATTTGACCAAGACAATGAGAACAAGGATTTAATAGGCCTATTAACAAAAAGATGTTACCATATGGGCTAGAAGGGGAATTTGCTTTCTCAATTGGAATTCATTAGATGGGCAACCCACTGCATGAGGCTCCCAACAATGTGGGGTATGGTTTTCTTTAGATATTACTGATTCACTGTGAAATTATATCCTGTTTTGTGTTGTGAATTTTTTGTACTGATTTTTGTTTTTGGTTTATTTCTTTATACTTTCTTTTCACAATATTTGCATTTTATCTCAGGTTTGATGTGAAAATTGCTGCAGCTGTAGCTGAAGAAACTAACCTACCATTTGTCACAGCTGAAAACAAGTTTGAAGCTCTGGTTAATTTCTAAACCCCATAAAGTTCCCTTTTCTATACACACATATCTAGGTGATAGAAAGTGGGATTTAAATCATTGATCAAATTTCTTTCTCTTTTGACTCTTCATGATAAATTTATTTGGTTTGCTCCAATTCTTCATGCTTTACCAGGCGGCACATGATGCTTTTGTTGAAACAAGTGGAGCCCTAAACACAATTTCTGCTTCCCTTATGAAAATTGCAAATGATATACGTTTATTAGGGAGGTACTTTCATGCTCTGTGTGTGTGCTTGATTATGAATTTTCGTTCATTTATTTGGCATTATTCTTGTGAACTTATGATGTTTTTTCCCTCAGTGGTCCACGTTGCGGTCTTGGTGAACTTATTCTTCCTGAAAATGAGCCAGGCAGCAGTATCATGCCTGTAAAATCCTTTCCTTGATTTATTCTTTTTTTCCCCTTTAGGAAAAACTACAGTTGTAATGTAAAGCAGTAAAGTCATTTTCCTTTTATTTTGTAATAGTAGCATGGAGTTTCTTCTGTTTTCAGGGGAAGGTTAACCCAACTCAGTGCGAAGCTCTCACGATGGTCTGTGCACAGGTAAATAGATTGACTTACACTTTCAAATTCATGTTGGACAGTATGAAAAGGACAAATCATTATCAATCAACTGTTGATTATTGAATATAATAATCTCTTGACCACATCATACTAGGAGTATTGAGTAGGCTGATATCTATAACACATTAATGCTGGTCAAATGAAGAACTCTTTCTTTGTAAAATTATCATTATTCAATGTTTGCCAGAAGAGTTAGCTTCTTTTCTGAGCTTAGCTGATAGATGTCTTGGCACTTTGTAGGTTATGGGAAACCACGTGGCAATTACGGTTGGTGGATCAAATGGCCATTTTGAGTTGAATGTATACAAGCCATTAATTGCTAGTGGCCTTCTACGTGTATGTTTTTTCATTTCTACTGCTATAATCTATACTTGAGAAGAGATTGTACTAGCTTTGGTTCTTTAAGGAACTTCTATTAATTTTGATTCGAGGGTTTAATTATAACATTCCCTAATCTTTCATTAACCATTGTCATGAAGCAGAAGGAAACAATTCTTTGCAACTTTTGCTTTGGCATCCTAGAAACTCAATTAGTTAATAGTTTTTCTAGCTTTACATTGAATAGAATATCTTGATGAATTGCATTACCAATGAGTATTTCCCTCTACAACTTTCATTTTATCATTTGTTTCTATTGATATTCTAAATTTTTGTTTCCAACAATTGTTTATGATTCTCTATTGGCAGTCACTGAGGTTGCTTGGTGATGCATCTATTTCCTTCGAGAAGAACTGTGTTAGGGGTATTCAAGCCAATCATGGAAGGATTTCAAAATTACTGCATGAGGTATGTCTTAAGTACATTGCAATTATTGCCATTCTTTCATATGGGAAAATCAGAAGTAACTGACCAAAATGCCCTGCGATGTTTTTCCTGGCATTGCAGTCTCTGATGCTCGTTACATCTTTGAACCCTGTAAGTCTCTTTTCTATTTATTCCTTAGATGCTTCATCAAGCATGTTTTTATTGCTCACATTTACTTTTCTAAACTTGTAGAAAATTGGATATGACAATGCTGCTGCGGTTGCCAAGAAAGCACACAAAGAAGGAACTACCCTGAAGGTTATAATTCATGACTATGGAATATTGGATTTTCTTTGGTATTCTGGATCTGTTGTAGCAATAGTGAAAATTAGCTGTACTATAAGTGATGTGTCATGCAAATCACTTTCCTTCTCTTGTTTGAAGTTTTTTTTTTTTTTTTAAGTGACAGTATTTCTCAAATATTTTAAGTCCTCAAACAATTGTGTACCTAACATTGAAACCATAGGCTTCTCTTTAAATTACCAGCTATTTTGGGATGGCCTTTGTCAGTGGGAGTAGAGGTGTATTTGATGGAACATGAGCAAGAAAAATAGTAAAACTAGTCATAGTTTTCAAGGCGCCAAGGCAAGGCTAGGCAACAGTGGGGCGCCTTGTTGCCTAGTCACCTAGGCGATGGATTTTTTTTTAAGTAAAACCATACATCCTAGGGTAGTTCCCTATGTTCCATAACCATCTTTCCTTAATAATTATTCATAATTTCATAAAAGAAGTATAAATTTCATGTTTAAGTCTAGAAAATCAACATTTTATGAGAAGAAAAAGAACAAAGGAAAGAAAATTCAAAAAATATAGGGGCTGAACCCCTACTTTTGTTATAGGAAAGAAGAAAAGAAAAGGTGGAAGAAGAAGAAGAAAATGTGTTGATTATGCAAAATTTTAAGTTCTTCCCTTGCTTATTGGTTTAGGTTTTGAAATTTTTGAGGGTTCAATCAAGGATCAAATTTTCAATACGATACGCCCCGTATCGGGTTTATTGTATTGTATCAAATATATATATATATATATATATATATATAAATGAAATTGAAAACCAAAGAAATAAAAAAAAGGGGGAGTATCGTTATAAGTACCGATACACCTCTCTGAACCATGGGTTCAATACAGCAGTTGGCAATGTTTGCGTTGATTAAATCCTAACAAAATAAGAAAATAATAAAATGAAATTAGTATATAAACACAAAATGAATATTCTAGTTTAATAATGTCTATTTTATAATTATAATGTCAAAAAGTTATAAATATAAAAGTATTTTATAACCCAGTGCACAAAACTGCTTGGCAACTGGGCGAGGCGAGCCTCCAAGGGCGCCTTGTCGCCTAGGGTGAATAATAGAACCCATTGTTGAGGAAGTACCATAAAAAATTTTGACAAGTGTTCAACCTGCAAAAGCTTTATAGCTGCAGTTAAATAGAACCCTATCTTTTAATGGTGACCTAGATGGAGATGATTGTTTACTTTTGACCAAATATTATTTCCTGCTGGAGTTCATTTACCACCTTAGCTTATGAAAGTTTTACCATCTTTTTTTGTTAGGCATGCTAAATTTCATCGACTGTGCTTTTTATTGACAATCATTTTATTTTGATTACTTTGAGTGGCAGCTGATGCACCAGGTAATTTAAACTCTAACCTGTGTATGATAAAATTTGTTTGATTGAACAGTAAAAAGGTTGCTATTCCCAACCTTAATTGAGTGAGGAGGAACGCAGCACAAATTCCATTAGTGTCGTCATACCAAATGCTCCAGACTACCTTAATTTAAATTAACCAAAAGTTGCATACAGTAAGGATGTTAGATTCCCTACTGTTCAAGTAGGCTAGCATTTCTTTTGCACATGTTGCTCATTGCTTGATGCCATCTATTTTCCTGGATGTTGCCAAATCTCAATCTAAAAAATTCTTATTTTGCAGGAGTCTGCATTGAAACTTGGAGTGCTTGCTTCTGAAGAATTTGACAAACTCGTGGTGCCTGAAAAGATGATTGGTCCCTCTGACTGATTTGAGAAAGATATTGGAGTTCTTACAAAATCTTCCGAGACTTGACAGCAAATTGCCCTGAAGTTCCATTTTTGCACACCATCTCATCTCCAGTTGATTGGATGGGGGTAGATACATATGATATGCATATAGCTAATCAAGCCGTAACATTGATGTATCCTCCACAAATGTTGTCTTGTTTTGAGTAGGTGATTTTTGGTTCATACCACAGGGCAACTGATACGCAGTTGCATCAATTTAATAAGGAAATCTCCTGTACCTTTATAGGAGAGAGAAATTTGGAGGAAATAGAATGGTGGGTTCATGAGAGACAGAGGGGCCAAATTCATCATGATGATGTGCCTAGACTCTAGAAAGGTTCTTCCCTGAAATAAATCAATTATTGTAATACATGAGACTAGCTTTCATTATTATTATTATTATTATTACTATTTTTTTTTTGTAAAAGGGGGAATGCATTAATAATAAAACCAGTACAATATCATAGAGTTTGCTAGATGGGGTTTGTCTGTTCCAGATTAATCCAATCTGGGCAATCAAAAGGAAAGAGACCCCTATCCACGAAGCCCCGCTGGGCTAGCTTGTGAGCTGTATTGTTACAATTTCTGTTAATGAAATTTAAGGAAAAATCTAGGCCCACTATAGCAAAAAAGATGTCTTTCACCAAAAGAGAAATATCAGCTGAAAAGTCTGAGTCTTCTCCTGAACGTGTCTGGCAGTCTGTCTCAGTAACACACCTTTCAGTCCCAGCAAGCTTGGCTAGGATGACAAGGCTTGCTAGGACAACACCTTGTTTAACAACAAAAGTTTTTGCTTGGAGGGCTGATGAAACAAAAACTGATCCAAAACAAGTTGCAAGGCTAAGACGAGAACTGTCTCTGATTATTACACCAAAATTACCTTTGCCATCTTTAAAGTCACCGTCTGTATCAACTTTAAACACTCCGTTTTTTTGTGATTGCCAAAAAGGGAAAAACTCCTGTCGAGTTTCAGATGCACTTGTACCTCTTGAGCAGGGCTTCAGAGTCTCTGCCATGAGCTACAATTATCTGTTCACATTCAAGATAATGCTATCAACTGAGTTGTTTGCTTCATTAAAGACTGGAATTCCTGGATTTCCATATATTCCAAAGTAGATAAGCAGTAGTTTGGAAAAGCCACAATTTGTTTCCTTTTGATCGTGCACAGGTTTCTAGCCATTCAAAGAGCCAAGTGTCAAAGGCCATATTTGTTGGGTGCCTCTCCATGTTAGCCCCAAAACAGCTCAAACCAAACTTTTCTAGGGGATTCACACTAACAAAGAGCATGAAAGATAGTTTCCGGTTGTTTGCCACACAACCTGCAAAGGTCTGCGTTCGCAAGTTTCCTCTTGAACAAGTTGGATCGGACTGCAATTGTGTTTTTACAACACCTCTAGAGAACATTCTTAACTTTGGGTTCCACTGGGAGGCCCCAAATTTTGTTCCACTGGTGGGGATTTAGCTGGCTTTGGGTGGGGGAGAGGGTTACAACATTAGCAGTTTGTTGTTTAATTCTTAGGACATGGGAGGCAATAAAATCACCCAACACCATGTCTTGTTTCATTATTCATTCAAAGGAGAAATGCAATTTTCTCCTCACCCAGTTTTGTCAGCATGATTACAATTGGGTGGAGCAATGCTAACTTTCTGAGGATACTATAGCCTCCCTACATGGGCTCTTGGGTCACCTAGGAGCCAGGATGGTCCAGTACATGGATGGCGCTCTCCACGGAAGGCCCTTTTGCCTGGGCTGTTTTGCTTAGGATACTATAGCCTCCCTACATGCCTGGGTTGCAGCCATGAGTTCAACTCCAAAATGGTTTGTATGGAATGTGAATAAAAATTAGAATTTAGTTTGTTTCTTGAAATTTATGAATTTATTTCTATTATGTACTATTATCTTGTGTGTTTTACCATAAGCTTCTAGTATGATACTTTTGAAATTTTAGGGGGTGGTCGACAACATGGTTAAAACAACTGCCACATCAGAAAAATCATATTGTTTTTTATTGATGTGCCAGTTGTTTTTGTTTTCAAAAACAAAACCATGTTGTTGAACACCCAATTTCACAACGTGCAATTGATTCCATGTGATTTCTATATGTGGAAATCGTCCAATTCCTATCTATCCATATATAGATAGGTAGATAGATATAATAAAACAAGACATGTCATGTCAGTGTGGCTCTCCTTGCTTCCCTACCATTTATCTATTTTGTGGGTTTTTTTTTTGAATTTTTTATTTTTAAAATTAAACAAAATAACTTAAGTAGCCAATCAGCTTTAAGGGTCTGTTTGTTTCCTCTTAACTCTTATCTCTTAAGAGGAATCTTTTAACTTTAAGAGAAAAATGGTTGTTCATTTCTTCTTATCTCTTAAAGTGCAATCATACAATTTTTTGTTTTACAATGATACCCCCAAAAAGACAAACAAAAACTCTAATATATGGGGTCAAAATGGATATTTGATAATTTTCCGAATTCAGAATTTAGAATTCTGAACAACATTCTCTGTATTCAAAGTTTAGAGGAAAGAAAAGTTCACCAATACCAATATACCTCTTAATGTAATTATTGCACTTCCAGAGCAAACAAACAGGCCCTAAGTCTTAGACGTTCATCTCTCCTCATTAATTTACCATTAACTCTCTCCTCTCTTTCTCATTAATTCCTTTGGTTATCTCTCATCATTAATCATTCCATTAACTTCCTTTCCTCCAATAAACTACGTTATTTCTCTCTTCTCAATTATTATTAAATTGCCTAAAATTCATTTATTCCTTTTTCCTTTTTTTTATTCTCTCTCTCTCTCTCTCCCCTATCCTCATAAATCTAATAAACCAAAAACAATTTGCTTAGGGGGTGATCGTTTCAATTTGGCCTAGGCCCATGCTCGCATTAGGCCCACAAATTTTAAGGCCAAGCTTGGGCGTAATACTTCAAAGCCGACATGGGTCCAACCTAGCCCATAAAAAATAACAATTTAAAAATTGGGTAATAAAAATATTGTAAATAGTTAAATCAACTAAGCATAATGAGAGAATTCTATGAGAATAGGGCCCGCCCCTTCCATCATTAACCTATTTTATCATATTTCTATAGGCCTCTTCCATTATTAGTCTACTGTATTTCAGAGAGAGAGAGAGAATTTTACTTTCATCCAAATTTCATTTATTTGTTTTAGATTCAAATTCTATTTAATTGGTTAATTGTAAAAAAAAGATATAATTTGAAACCTAATTACTAAAATTAATAAAAACGTTAAATTTTAGCAAGTTTTTGTCCGACAATTAATAAAGATTAAGAAATTAATAAAAAAGCAATTCATAAATAAAAAATCAAATTACATTTCACTTCTATTTAAAAATAACTAATATTAATAGGATAATTAAAAATATTAATAAAAAAATAAAAGTAATAAAACAAACCATTTGCATTCCATATAAAAATAATAATGGACCAATTAGAAACGTCAAAAGACTCATACTTAGGGATGATCATTTATAATTTAGCCCAATCTAGCTAGACCTACAAAATTTTGAGCTCAAGCAATTATTTTCTTCCAACCTAAGTCTAGCTTGGGTTTGCACCAAACCCACACATAATGTAGATAGTAGGGTTATGAAGGAATCAAATTTAGATTGGATCCAATTGTATCTACATCCACATTGGATTATGAAATCACTAGATTTACATCATCATCCAATTATTATGTTGGATTTCAGATTGGATTCGGATTTAATCCATGACTATCCTATTATGTTTAAAATGACAAAAAAAATGTTTAAAAAACTAATTATTTTTAAATATATATATAAAACTAAAATATTAAATTTATCAATTATAAACTTCACATAATTATATTATACACACACACACACACACACACACATATATATATATGTTGTCATGCGGGTTGACCGAGGGCAACAAGGTAAATTCACTCTTCAAGTTTCGAGTGTAAGTCGAGGACCTTGGGGCCTCGGAAGAGGTTGACCGAAGCCGAGGACAGCAAACCGAGGTGAAGTACTCCTTCTGAGGACTATGGTAGCCAAGGATTGCAAGTCGAGGCGAAGTCCCTGGTGACCTGAGATACTACAAGACAGGGAGTGTCAGAGACCTCGGGGTGGATACCTGAGGCAGAGGCTCCAACGCTCAAGTTAGTACGAGGTGTGAAGTAGGGGAGAGTGCAAAAGTGTTCCTGGAGAGAGTCCTCGGATGCACCAGATCTCCCTGAATTAATGCTAGGTAGACAATGTAGGTGCAAGAAGTAAATGAGTGTGTGATGTTGGAGTTACTCCATTCCAACCCCTTTTAAGGGGCGGTTACCTCTTATTTATACTTGAGCATGCTGGTGGTAGGTGAAGATGAACGCCTCGGATGAGAGTCATACAAGGTCAGGTTGCAGGCCCTGGCGGTATGCTAGATAGTTATGTGATTGGCTCTGTACGGAGGCAGCAGGGCTCCCTCCTACTGTCGCTGACGTTAGCAGGCGTTAGTGGGTTGGGCCTCCCAGCCCTATGTGGGCTGGGCCAAGCTAACCCACATCACTTGCCCCCCACTCCCGAGACCGAGGTGAGGCCTCGACTTTTGCCCATAATGAGGGTAGTAATTGAAGTGAGGCTTTGGCTTCAATCATCGAGTGTAGTGGTCATTATGCCATCAGATTCATCAGTAGAGAGATGTCATGCAGTGGCATCGTCTTCGCTCTTCATGCCGCCACTCTTCGGTTCGGAAGCGCGAGCGATGTGGATGCCTCGGCTTGGCGAGGGTGTCCCGTATCCCGCACGGGTAGGTCACACTAGCGAGGCTACCGTGCAGGGGATGGCCGTCCTAGGAGTCCTATGCTTGCCGCCCAGCGGTCCGTGAAGAGAGGCCTTTTAGTTCGTTCAGAGGGTTGTCGCGAACGATCTTTGCGGTCCACCTGGCGTCGCTTCGCTTTCCGAGGGCATGCACTAGGAGGTGCGATGAGACTGGTGATGCAAATAAAATTTATCATATTCTTATCTATGAATATTCAGTCTTTCCACTCTTAATTTACATTAAATTGGACTCATTACTCTGTTATTTTGATTCAGGGCAAGGAAAGAAGTCGCAAGAAGGAAAACAAGGCTAATCGGATGATTTTTCACAGTTTCGGCACCGTTCAGTAATCTGAGCCTAACTCTCATATCCGAGCTACGATTGGGATGATTCAAGATGAACTGCAAAGATAAGAGCGGGATCTACAACTTTCATGTTTTGGGTTTTGACAGATTCGACCTACACCGAAGTCAAAATCAGGTCCAAAGTCGAAGCGGATCTGTAGTAAAGCCCAGCTCACAGCTGAAGCCCAATTCGTAGAAAAGCCTTGTAGCAGCCCAACTTATTAATGCAGCCCACTCGAATTCAAAAATCCAAAGTCTTCTTAGATT